ACAAGGTTAATACTGTATGGAACAAAACTGTGACTGAATCTGGATATTCTGCTTCGGATGTCTGGGATTTGTCTCTTGTTCTTTTCTGTCCTCTTGTTACAATCAAAACATATTATGAAAAAGCCTTATCCACTCCATCTCTCTTATCTGGGCAAAAATGGGGTTCTAGTCTAATGATCAGTTATGGTCCTCTCCACTTCTATTGCTGGAAGGGACTAGTCACTTTGGATTTAGCAGTAGGATCAATTACAAAGAGCTGTCCATCTCCCATATTTGCTGTGGCTCTGGCTTCTTGAATCGTAACATACCTGCTAATTGTCTCATATGTCAGGTGATCATGAGTTTGACATGTCTCCTGGTCTTCAACGATGCCATTCCTTCACTGCAAGCTAGCAGTAATCAATGAAATCTCACCTTTCCCTGCATTTTGTGACAGGCTTTTTTGTAAGTTCTCAAAGTTTGAGGGAATATACAGTACAAAACACCCATTGATGCATTTTCCCCTCTCTAATTAAACCAAGCAGAATTGCTTTCACTTTCAGCCAAGCTTTGCAAGTATAACTTACAACTTAGTTAATTGCATTCCATTGTTCTTTCCCTCCTCCCCTTGCCTTGGTAATAATACAGTAGTTTGACTTTTTAAATTGCCTGGCATAGAAAAAAATATGTTTTCTTATTACCAAATGTAATTGTGTAAGTTCTCTCTCTCTCTCTCTCTCTCTCTCTCTCTCTCTCTCTCTCTCTCTCTCTCTCTCTCTCTCTGTGTGTGTGTGTGTGTGTGTGTGTATGTGTATGTGGTGTGTGTGTGTGTGTGGTGTCTGTGTGTGTTTGTGCATATTAGCTTAAAATAGAATGCAGGGTTTAGGGTTTTAAAATAGAAAAGCACACGTTTATTTAAAACCCCAAACCCTGCTTGCTTGCTTGCTTGCTTGCTTGCTTGCTTGCTTGCTTGCTTGCTTGCTTGCTTGCTTGCTTGCTTGCTTGCTTGCTTGCTTGCTTGCTTGCTTGCTTGCTTTCTTTCTTTCTTTCTTTCTTTCTGTTTTAGAGACAAATACTTAATAGACTTGATTTTCATAATGTATTCTGTTGCCTTTGTTTGTTGATCACAAATTTCAACTGGTATGAAATGTTTCCACATTGGCCTTGAGAGCATTCAGTAGAGCATTCCAGTACCTGGATTTTGAATTTTTTTTATGCCCATTGTGAATTTCTTCCACTAGTTTTCTGCTAAATGAAAAGGACTTGAAGACATACCTATGTCGTTCCATTTAGAAAAGAACCTTTTTTTTTTTTGAGGGTCAAAGATTCACCAACAACAATGCTACTTTTGTTTGGTGTGGTTTTGTTTAGGGGAAAAAGATGAACAAATGCAGAAACTGGAAAGAAAAGCAAAAGTTGTTTAACTTGAAATGCAATACACATTTTTTGTGCTTTTGAGTTAGTGTTGACTTATGGTGGCTTGCTGGGACCCTGCAGTTTTCCTACCAAGTTGCCTTCTTCCTAGGGCTGAGAGAGAATGACAGGCCCAAGGTGATTTGACTGGCTTTATGCCTAAGGTGGAACTAGAATTCACAATGTCCCAGTTTCTAGTTTGATACCTTAACTAAATACATCAAAACTAACTCATAGTACACTTCACACTGCTATAAGATAGCCTTTAATCACTTCACCATACTGACAAGCTTTTCAGAAACCAAAATGTAAGTAAATGGATGATAATAGCCAGTTGAAGATGCTTTGAATATGGGTTGAGCAATGTTCCTTGGGTCAATGTATTATGGTTTTGGTAGCTGTTCTTAGGAGAATAGTTTGAGCAAAAAAACCTTAAAGAAGTAGTTAAAAGCCTTAAACCATATCATAGTAAAATAATACCATTCCCTACATAGCATCTCTTTGCATTGTCTCCCATATACTATTACTGGTCACTGGGCAAAACATCATGTGACTGCACCTTTTTGTGACCGCAACTCCAGTAGTCCCAATTGCTATTGTTAGGCCAAGACCATAAGAGTTTTTAGCCAGGACATCACACTTCCCCTGCCCTAATGTACTGGCCTCTACTTCAACTCTTCCCAGCTGTGTATCGCGCCCCCTCCTTCTCTGTCCTTTTGGGAATTTATTTTGTACTTTTTTGGGGGGAAATAAAGTTTAACAACGATATCCTATATACTAGAAAACTTAACAAAGTATAAATTGCATGCAAGCACCTAACAAAATATTCCCATCAAAAAATAATTCATGTGTACACAAGTCATTTTGTTTCAGGCTATAGTTCTGATTTTATAGAGTCACATAGTAAAACTGTGGCTTTTGAGTAATAAAAAACAAAGCAATTTATGCTAATTTACACACTTAAGTAGTTTATTGCTTTTTGTCTCTCAACATCTTGATTGAAAATTAAGCTTTGATTCTATTAATTGATGAGCCTGTTCATTTTTTTGCAACACCTGTATGAATGAAACCTTTGGAAAAAAAGGAGGAATGTCTCAATCCTTCTTTAAATAAGATGATTTTATTCTGCATTTTTAAAAATGCTACAGCCAGCTTTGTGGTACTGAGAACAATCCTTCCTTTCCCTTCTCTCTTCAGCTGTCATCTGAAAAGATCAGGAATGGTTGCATTTGCAAACTTGTTTTCTCTATTTCCTGCTTTTATATACATTCTTATACTTTTTTTTTTTTTTTACCAATCTAGGATCCACCATGTGATTTTCAGTTCTTTTCCTTTCTACGGAAATTTGCAATTTAGATTTGAAGGGAATATAGATTTGAAGGGAAGAAAAATATGCCTCTAGCTCAGTGATGGCGAACCTTTTAGAGACAGAGTGCCCCAAAACTGGCCCTGCCCCTGCTCTACCCCCTGCCCCACCCCCGCTTTGCCCCCCATCCCCTGCCCCGTCTGCCCACAGGACCACTCACCGCCTCCAGGGCCCGCTGCAGATCGCCCAGGCAGCCCAGCAGTGCTATGGCGGCCATACCCTCTGCCCGCGCCCTGCAGCATCAACTGCATGATGGGGTGTGAGGGCAGAGTCTTGTCTACGCTGCCTGGCTGCCATGTCCTTGGCTGCACTGCTCCGTGTGGGCCACCCTCGAGGACGACTCTCCTTCAGGGGGGCTGCTGGAGAGGAGGGGTCGCAGGGGGAGGCAAGGCTGGGGCAACGGCACGTGTGCCCACAGAGAGGGCTCCAAGTGCCGCCTCTGGCACCCGTGCCATAGGTTCGCCACCACTGCTCTAGCTTTATAGACAACAAAGCAAATATAAGTGCATGCATGCATTCACAAACACACACTCCTCCACTTGAATCTGTTTCAAACTGTTCTGTCACTTATTTATAGAATTGTCAGATATACGGTGAACATTCAGTTCTTTTTGATGGTTTGCACTGTTTCAAGCATTTTGGATTAATTAATGCTTTTGTGAAATAATTTTTTTAAAGAAAGAAAGAAAAAGAAAAATTAAGGGTTTTCAGGCTTTTGAAAAGAATAAATTATTCATGTATTATGAGTTATGTCTCTTAAAAACATTGTTTTCTCCATAGCAGGCCATAAAGTGGAAACTTAATGTTAAAAAAGTAATACTAGCTTTTCACTATTTAATGTTATAATGGAATAGGATGCTACTTATGTTTACAGTTTTTTCTTCATTAACTGATCAGATAAATTATATTATAAATGTTAGAAATTCTCAGCAATTAGATAAAACTTTTGAATACTTCCTTTTTCATAGGAAATGTGGAACTAGTTTTCTATTTTTCTAATCTACTTTTCTATCATAATCTTAAATATTCATAAAACATCCACTACATACCTCGACAATATGATGTATTAGTGAATACTTTCATGTTTTCAATTTTTAATTTATTGAGGGTTTATCTTTGAAATTCCCCATGAGAAACTGAAAATGATTTGGAAGTTGTTGTGTGAAAGGAGAAATACATCAGCCCTCTCTTCTCTGTGACAGGTCCTCAAAGTTACATCCAATGAGATCATAATAAAACTTTTGAAGATTCCAGAAACTCCATTTTCACCCTTGTGCAGTTGATCCTATTTTCACAATCCATTCTGACTTTGTTGTTATATATGTGGTTTGTGCTTACTTATTCCAACAATAGCTTGCATAGCCCGGGTTGGAATACACTATGAATATATGGTACTATACTTTATATGTTCTCTCCTAATGCTATGTTAGTTACAACTTTGAAAGGATCGTGATTTTGAGTATATCTCTCTGTGTAATAGTGTCTTGTGTCAATAGAGGATGCAAACTGAACCAAGATTCTTTCTAGTATGTACAAGTGTGTTCATGAACAGAATTGTTCTTTTTGATGATGATTAAGAACTAATTATGCCTAATTACTGTGAGGTTCAGGCAAGAAGACCATTTATATTTAAATTGCATGCAACCTGACAGCATAATTCAAAAAGTTCAGCTATATAGGCAGATATTAGGAGTTTATTGAAAGAAAAACTAGAACCAAAATGTACACAAGGAATATGTATATAGACAAAAGTATTTCTCATGGTTCAGTCTCTTATGTACGCTGAAATATTCTTGTTTGTAATTAATACTTTGCAGCTCCTCCCCTTTCTATTCTGTCTGCATTACCTTATTTGTATTCTTTTCTTTTTTTTTCTTTTGCTCTTTAATTTTGGAATTTATTGCCTCCATTATTTGTCTATGAATCTGATTCAGTTTCTTTTTCTCAAAGTGTTTGAAGGGTCATGAGTTTTATAGCTTTTCCTTATTAATTGAGATGTTGCCCTCAGATTTAAATAGGTAAATAATGGGCTGAGTATAGAAACTTGCTTTCAAGTTCTTCAGAAATCACTGTGATGTAACAGATTTATGGATCAGTGTGCTGAAAATACTGAAGACTGCAGAGGACGTAGGGAAAGTTAATAGGCCTTTGTTTGAACAATGCTTCATATTTTTAATTCGTTCCCTTAAAAAAAAAACACATTAGCATTGCTTGCTAATTTATGGATGGTATTTCTTTACAGGAATCTTTCTCTTAAGTTATCCAAGGAAGTGGATCGAGGGGACGCACGATGTCCTCGTGTAAACCAGCTAGCCATCAGCCCATCTGTAGAATGGCCTTTCACAACCATGGAGGAAGGCGGCGGTCTAGAAACTTTGCCCTTCCGTCTGATGATGCAAGACTGCACAGCAGTAAAAACAATGCTGTTGAAAATGAAGAGAGTTCTTCAAGAGGTAAGCTTCTAAAGTAGGGGTAGTCAACCTTGGCTCTTTTATGACTTGTGAACTTCAACTCCCAGAATTCCTGAGCCAGCACAGCTGGCTCAGGAATTCTGGGAGTTGAAGTCCACGAGTCATAAAAGAGCCAAGGTTGACTACCCCTGTTCTAAAGGATCAAAATAGTTCCATTTTTAAAAAAATAATTATGGTGTGGTTGACCGCTAAAGAACGATCACTTTAAGTTATTCTTTGTAAATCATTGATTAAACTCCATGAGTATTCTTAAAGATGTTCTATTTGATATTCTTAATGATCAGAACTTGATAACAGTGGCTCCTGGCTTGCTTCCTATTTTGCAATATCAATTGTGGGTAGGAGAAGAAATAAACTATCTTTGTTTACAAGAGCAAGTAAAAACATAGTGAAAAACTAAAAATAGAATAAGATTAGACTAGACCAGCCTGGAATAGAATAATACATTATTTGGCCAAGTGGTGTGATTAGACACAGAAGGAACTTGTCACACAAGGGGGAAAAAAGTAATGAAGAGTTTGTCAGAAAGCATTAGGATGGCCGGCAAGTTTGAAACAATAAATAAAAGCTTGTTGGGATCTTATTGACTTGATTTATAATTGTCTCTGGTCATGTGAAACATTTGTAGTACTTTACAGATGGCCACGTGGTCAAGTAGCCATCTGATCTCTCAGCCATGCAGATAGATCAATATTCATCCAGTTCAGTAATGTTTTTAAGCATTCTGCTGGAAGACTTGAAATGGACCTGGATGCTCTGAAGAGCTATTAGAAATTTACATAGCAACTGCTTCACTGAAAGCATTGCATGTGAAATGGTGACCTTGCTGTGATGCTAAGTTATGCTTCACTGGTACAGGCATTCTCATTTCAGGTGAGAATGTGAAGAGATTAGGAACATCTGCTTCTGTTTTTGATTCTCACTTGGTTTGCCCCACACCTAAACTTCTATTATTTTAATTATATTTTATTTAAACAAACCAGATGTAGAACTTCAGTTTGACCTCTGTTTAATCAGATAAAACTGCAATGAGCAGAAAAGAATGCCTTTAGTTTTCTTGCGCTCCTATGAGCAGAACAGGTGGCAGTGGAGAATAACACAAAGATCAGACTCATCCATGTAGCTTGAAGATGGAATGAAATATTGAATCTAAACATATCAGTGTGAAATTGTTATCTGTTGTGCTAACCTTGTGACTCACAAATGAAAGTCATCAAGCAATGCTTGATGGCGGATGTATATATATATTGAATGCCATTTGTTCAATGGACTTTCGCTATTTTATAATGTCTGGAAGAAACTCATAAAGGAATTCCTATTGTAATATGACTTTTGCATATGTTTTTGGAAGGTTTAGGATTAGAAAGTACATGGGGTTTCTTAATTAAAATTAAAAAAATATATAAAACAAAAGCAATGTATGGGAAATGTAGATTACTGTTATATCAGAATAAATATGAAGCACTATAGGAATGTTGCAGCCATATAAAAGAGCATCAAAATGTTAATTCTGACATCTTTTTTGTGTTCATAATCTATGATTAGGCATATATTCATGGAAAGGAGGCTAGAAACTTTGTAAAATGAAAGATCAGTTTGTGTAAAAATACAAATAACAAATATCTGATTCTGGAATTTATAAAATCAATAACTAAGAGTCATGATGATCAGTTTTGGCATTATACCTATAGGACAGACATGTCAAACTTGTGATGTCGCGCGACGTATCGGAACTTTTTCCCCATTGCTGGCAATGGGTGGGCGCGGTTTCCTCGTGACGCGTCCGGCCCGCAGGTCGGCAGTTTGACACCCATGCTGTAGGAGGTTTAAACAAGGGTGTATAGTAGATCTTTCTCTCTTTTTGGCTAAATGAGGTTTTAATTAAACAGCACACCATTACCAATTTATTGAATACATTTTAATTTAAAGCAAACTTTTTCAAATAATGTGTACTAAAAGTGTCATCATTTGGTAATACTTTAAAATACATTAAATATGAATATTATTCTTAATATTCTTCAATATTATGATTGTCATTCTATAAATGTACCTATGTTTATTGTTATGGTTAATGGATTCTGATAGTGTAGTAATATATCTCAAGCCACCTGTTTGTTTTGCTTCAATATTTGTTTGCCATCACATTGTTTGTTGATATGAAATTCAGTCCGTTGTTTCTTTTCAGACAGAACAGTTATGAATAATTACTGAAGGATTGTCATATAGGAGGGGAGAATAATTTTTTTGATCCTGCTGATGCTCCTTTTTAACTATTAAAAATAAAGCTGAAGATAAACTCATCCTTATTTATTTTTCTGTCAGGCAAACTCCTGATGAAAATTGTTATTCATGTAAATCCCAAGTTGAGTTGGAAAGCTGAATATGATGAATATGAGAATTGGGCTAAACATATATAAACAGTCACTATAGTAGTGGCTACAAAAGCATTCTTATGAAAGTACTCATTTCACCATATTTGTGTATTTATTTGTAAATATTTCCCCTTAAAAGAAATCCAAATAGCAAATTTTCTAGTTCAGAATTTTTGGCATTTCTTGTATTGTTTTAGGCCAACTATTCCAGTGACTTGGCAATGGAGCTGAGGCAATGGAGCTGAGCCTCATTTCCTTTTCTGAGTCATTTGCGCTTCAAATAATCTGCATATAAAAAATTATTCTCATACACACAACTGAGGAGCGAATGGAACATACACTGTTCCTTTTATGGTCTGAATAATTTTGGACTAAATGAGGTGGTGCTTCAAGACAGCAGAGGTAAAATGTCTATCATAATGAGGAAGGCAAAGTTAAGGATAACAAGGTTCCTAATGAGTTCCTCAACTCTGTTAATAAAAAGCAATAGGAAATAAAAGAGGGATAAGATGGAGGGCATTGCATAGAGTTCCCAACCCATGTAATGTAATAAGCTGTCTCCCAACAGCTTAATTGGATTGAAAAAAATAAAGTGTCAATTTTACATAATTTTCAAATATGTGAAGCAACAATAAATATGCAAGTGCAAGGTCTTAAATTCTGCCCTGCTTTTGGATTTCACCCATATATATAAAATATATATTAATTTGAAGTTACTTCCTACAAAAGCCAGCACTACTAAGAACTGGCAGCTGTGATTATGCATTTTTGTTTATATAGTAATTACAAATTGTTGCTCATAATACACTAGCTATAACTGTGATTGAAAAGAAAATAAGTGTGGATAATTAATGTGGCAATATTAGTAGTTATGGGTGCCATACCCAAAAATCTTGGATAGCACTTAGAAAATCTGCAGTTGACAAAAAGGCCACACTCCTTCAATTTGTACATATGATATGCTGATACATTGAGACATTCTAGGTTCTTGAAAAGAATTTGATCCGTATGAAGGCCAATATTCGTTAAAGACCTGGTAGCTATGACTTCACATTGTTGTGAACAGATAATAAATATCTGGTTGATTCTGTGACCAATCACCATCATATTAGTGGCAGCAAAACTGATGCAGATTTTCCTCAAACTTTCTATTTTATATTTCATGGATATATAATCTGTTAAAAATGCAAGTTTTATGTAGGGGCATAAAGATATTGCTAAACAGGAACAGCAAGATGCACATTGACTGAAATTGCATATCACACTACGTAGTGAATAGTCCATTAACTAGTGGATTGAATAAATACAAGGACTGGATTTATAGTCACTTTAGGCCATAAGCTATAGTTTATGAAATACAGCTGCTGGATATGCAAAACTTGCAAAGCAAAAATCACATAGACAAAGCCATATATCTTATAACTTAACTTGATGTATGAACCAGTCCATGCTTGACTTTACATAGCAAATTTATACAATTTGTTTCCAGTTAGGACAGTGTCTAAGCCCATTGTTTGAGAAATAGACCATTTTGGCTTATTCAACAAGCCAAATTATTGCAATCATTTAGTTTAAGAACTAAGAAATTCTGTATAGGGAAACTAGAAGCAATAGGTTTGTTTAGGATTCTGAGAGGTTGGTTTGGAACTTTGGGACTATAGAAAAATCTGAAAGATCCCATGGCATTTCTTTTTAGACGTTTACACCTATGAAAATGAAAAAAACATTGGTTGATTGATTGGTTAAATACATTTATAGGGCCACCCAACTCACATTGGGTGCCTCTCGTTAGCTTACATTATTAAAATTTCATAATTTTAATAAACCCTTATCCAAAAATAAAACTATTTGGAGTTCTGACCCCTAATTGTCCTTAAATGGTTTCCATGGGGGTTTTTTTTGTTCTTAAATGAATCTCACATTTATTTATTATTAGTTAAGAAAATTATACTTTATTTATTAACATTTAGTATGTAATCCATAATGAATTAGGAAGACGTTTTAACATTACAGGTAATGAGAGGCTGAAGTCAAGCTCAGTTCCTTATACACATATATGCAGGAACGGCTGCTGGAATTGGGTATGTCTAGTTTAATGAAGAGAAGGACGAGGGGGGACATGATAGCAGTGTTCCAATATCTCAGGGGCTGCCACAAAGAAGAGGGAGCCAAGCTATTCTCCAGAGCGCCTGAAGGCAGGACAAGAAGCAACGGATGGAAACTAATCAAGGAGAGAAGCAACCTAGAACTAAGGAGAAACTTCCTGACAGTTAGAACAATTAACCAGTGGAACAACCTGCCTCCAGAAGCGGTGAATGCTCCAACACTGGAGGTCTTTAAGAAGAGACTGGACAGCCATTTGTCCGAAATGGTATAGGGTTTCCTGCCTAAGCAGGGGGGTGGACTAGATGACCTCCAAGGTCCCTTCCAACTATTATTATTATTATTATTATTATTATTATTATTATTATTATTATTATTATTATTATTATTATTATTATTAATCATCGCATAGTCAGCCAGATGTTCAGACTGGATTTGGCATTTTGTCTACCTATCGAGTCCTTACCCAGGACCTGGGATAAGCAGATGTGGATGTTTGATGGTATT